CTTCTGCAAGGCGGGACTGATAATCACACGTTCCCCACACATGTGCGGAGAGGATGATGTTCGCACAAGTGATCATTTAGTAGTTGCCTGCGCTCGTGAGAATTCAGTACGTTGCAGATATGATGATGGATGAAGACAGTCCCAAGCAAAGCAGTCTGCTGTGGTGACTGAGGCCACCATCTACTTGTGCAATAAGAGAAGGGAGAGCCACTGCTCAGAGGCCACAGTCCTGTTGGACACAGGAGCCAGCAGCTGGGGCCCCTCTAGCACAACAGCAGGCCTGGGCAGGGCCCCTCAGATTGGAAGTCCCCAGGCAGCCAGTTTCCCAGCAGCTGGCTGAAGCTCCAGCACTAGCCTAGTGCTTCCCTCGAGCCTTCGGGACTGTGACTCAGCAATTACCTTTGCTTAACAAGGCATGCATTGTGGCTGTCATTAAGGATGCCCGGCCACTCACAAAGCATTGCTCTCGCTCCCCGGGTGTAAGTTTTGCAGCCGGGAAACCATGGGAGAAGACGTTCTGCTGGCTCTCACGCCCTGGTAAACTCCAGGGCGACACATGTGAGGACATCGATAAAGTCCACTGACGCTTCTGTCTACTCACTACATCTGCCACTGACGCCTGGGGGGACATTTAAAAATGTCATGAGCCTTTCNTCTACTCACTACATCTGCCACTGACGCCTGGGGGGACATTTAAAAATGTCATGAGCCTTTCCATTTACCAGGGCTTCTTGTCACTGACTGCAGGTCACCCACCACCTTTCCCCAGCTTCCTTGGTTCTCACGCCCAACCTCTTCTCTTTCCTGGAGGGACAGCGATTAACTGCAGAACTGGCTCTGTCCCCTCAACCGCCAGTGAGGAAACTGAGGCCCAGAGAGGGGGGCTGGCTGTTCAAACTCACAGAGCGAATCAGTGTCCCCGTCAGGATGGAGGGTCGCCCCCAGCTCCACTTTTGACACTCCTCCCTGACTCGCTCTGGTCCCCTTGAGGGTTCATGGAAAAGGCCTGGGGTGATGTGGCCTCTTTGCGGTGGTAGATTTGGTGGCAATGGGACCATTCAGTGGCCTGGGCTCTCGGTGAGGTATCCAGAGACTGTGGCGGGCACATGTGCCCAGCACCCACTCGTAGGGCAGGGTCGGGCTGGAAGCTGAGCCGAGGAGCAAGGGAGGGTTTCTGAGGACCTCAAAGTGCCGCCCTGGCTGAGACGGGGCTTTTCTGTCAACCAATCAGCTGGGGCCACTGGGTTGCTCCCAGCCAATCAGTCCTCACTGTGGGCCCAGCACACACAGGCCCCGAGACGAGGGTGGTCTTCAAGGTGGCCCAGCCCTTCCCCTGATTGTCCAGGTAGGTCCCCACCTCTCCAGAGGATCTCCCCTCTTGGTCACCAGGCCTCTCATTCCACCACGGCAGTGACAGTGTCCCAACTTCTGTTTCTCACCAGTAGTGCCACATCAGGCTGTCACTGAGCTTCAAACTTGAACACAAGGTGGGCTCCAGATTGTCCCTCAAAAGCAGTGTCCCGGTGAGGGTTAAAGGAGCACCTGGAAAAAAGGGCCTCACGGTACAGGGCAGGGGCAAATGCTCAATACACTACAGTGATCATGAGGGGGACAAAGATGGTGAGGCAGCAGGGGACACCCAGCACCTTAGGTCGGGGCACTGAGTGGGAGAACAGAGCCCAGAGCTGTGGCCGGGGCTGCCCATCTCCGAGCAGCCCTTTGTCACAGTTTTACCCAGTACTGGAGAGATCCCTCACCCAGGCCAAGGCAGCACCACGTTGGCAAAAGAGCTCAGTCCATGGAATACACATTCTGCAAAAACCCATCTCTGTGCCCACAACTGTGCCAGGCACTGGGGAGAGCGGAAAGCAGAAGACACCAACTCTGCGTACAGTAGCAGGAAGTGCTGCACCTGATGAATACCGCCCGGCTACCTTCTAGGCAAAAGCAGGGTAGGCCCCAGGACAGGGTGACACAGAAGAGGGAAGTCTCCACAGAAGCGGTGGTTCTAGGCCAGGGCTTGAAGGGTGATGTCCTACCAACACTGCAGGCTGGGAAGCCAGCTAGGAGGAGGTGGCCCTGCACATATCCAGGCAAGAGGTGATGAGGCCCATCTGAGGGGGTGAATGCAACTGAGGTATGATGGAGTGGGTTGGCCACGGATGACAGCCCTGCTCCTGGGTCAAGGACAGCCTGTCTCACTCCACTGCCCCGACTAATGGATATAGACAGTGGCTTGGGGAAAATGATTTTAAAATAGGGAGGAAAATGAGAAAAGTGTACAGCTGTGGAAGGAGGAAGCCAGTTGGGGAGGCTCCCCAAGACTGTTGGCCACACTATAAACATTCAGCAGAGGTGCTGCACTGAGCCTGAGGGTGACCTGGGGTGACCTGAGTCCTGACTGCAGGTGCAGAGGTGGCCATATACTCAAGGTCAATGTAGACCAGAGCTGGAGAGCGGCCAGGCCCCTGCTCTCTCCTCCCACATTCCCTTCCTGGAACGTGTGTCCTTCTCTCAGATCTGCAGCTGGAGAAAACTCCCAGGAAGGCAAAGAGCAGCGGGTCCCAAGATCACCACCGTGGACTTTGACTACTGATCACTGTGGTTGTTGAGCATCCACTTCCTGAGACTCAGCCCCATAGATCCATGGCCCAAACAC